TGCGGGATATTCTTCCACGAAACAAAGGTTAACTTTTTGCTACGTGTATCCAAGACTGGTTTGAATGAAATATCGGGAGTCAAGATCTCCTCCACAGTTGTAAAGCCGATGCAGGAAGCACCTGAATGGGTAGTATGTGCCAAAAGTTACCAACCTTTGGCAAGGCTACCGGTAGTTCTTTTTTTTCGATGCTTGCTGAGGAACAGTCTGATCACGAGTATGGTTCCTTGACACATACTAATACTGAATTCCCTCAAAAACGAGTGAACTTAGTAAAGCAGGAATTTGTTATCCCAACTGCGGAGACGAATTCTTGACTTTCAACATGATCGCTTCTTTAGTTGCTACTACATTTGCCCGCCAGTAAATATCACCAGGAATCGGTATGGGTTCCATGTCAGTGATGTTACTGGGATGCTCCATTTCAGGCACAGCTGTGCCAGGTTCACTGATCCTGGATTACATATCTCCAATCAATGCTTACTGCTTGTTGCACGTATGTGCGTCACCTCTTCGGAGACCGCCTGAATGATCAATTACTTTCTTGCCAGCACCACTTTTTAGTGCGAGTGGAGCATTAGATAGTGGAAGCATGTTACAACGAGAAATACACTGCAGTTAAAATTTTTGCTATGCGATACTGCAGAAACTACGCGATTCTGAACATTTTGCAAAAATTATAGAAAGCAAAAGGAGTTTACTAGTTTTAGGCATCGCAGCTTTAAGTACCGTTTTAGGTACTACGTGTGATGTATATCGGGAAAAATGGGATGAAAATAGTCCTGGAAGAGGTCTGAGCAAATCCACCAGTCTGGGTCCGGATCAAATGTATCATCGTAAAAGCTGTGCTGCATGTGGATCACGGGCTGATGCGCAAGGAGTGGAAATGTACTGTATCGATGAGGACGTCGCGAGCGTCTGCCAGTCCATGAATCTGTTCGTTGGTGGAGCAGTTGCTTGCACTGGGGATGGTGACTGCTGTTGCAAGGTGAATGCAGTTTTTAACGCTATGAATGCAGTTTTTAACGCTGGAAAATACAGATCGCGGATGCGCCTCCTTCAGTGCAGTATTTTGTTGTGGTCATATCTTTTATAATTAAGACGTACAAAAATAATTGTATTCCTCGACTTTTTTTGCGCAACTTATTTGCTAGCAGTTGTGTGTTCACCGTATCCACTTTTGTTCTGAAAGATGCACCAAATCATTAGGCTAAGAAATAAACGGTGACACCACACCAAACTAGCTGACGAAATCATGCGTTTTGGGCAATTCTCTCTAGCGGAAGTGTTCTACTGGTAAAAGCATGTGAAGAAGCTGCCAGTTGTAATTTGGAGAACGAGGCTGTGAGATTTATCTGATCAAAGTATTAAAGTAGTAAAATTAACACTGGTTTTATCCTAGAAGAACCGTTAGTCGATTCAGAATTCTCATGTCAGCCTCAAACTTACATTCCTTATTTCATGCAGAAGTATTTGGTGAAAACTCGAGTTTTGCTACTTCCATAATAAGCTCCAAAATCCTTTGTGTTCGATATCTTATCTCTTTTTTTATCACAGAAATTGCTATCAGTTCAGAAATTAATGAGGCAGTGGAGATAGATGAGCAAAAAATCATGCAGCAAGAGATGGATTGTCATGTTTTATTGATGGAACCACACGGAAAAAACCCGTCTGTCTTTCATCCCTTATCTGTCTCCTTAGCTTTGTCAGAGAAATTCTTGAATGCGTTATGTGTGGGGCTTTGTAATTTTTGTTTTCATAGACTATTCTGAAGCAGTGTATCTTATTTTTTTGCAGGGGAGCAACTGTCCAGCTGCGCTACGTAAGTTCTATTCGGGTCAGCAAATGTTACTCGGACCGCCAATTTTGACGCAAACCATTGGTGATGCATGCCCCAATTTACAAGCCTCACTTGTTGTTTCCTGCTTTTTTGTGACTTTATTACTCATTTTTTAACATTTATGATATTTCTGGGCTTTAGTTATGCTGTATTTTTACTACTCACGCATTATTTTTTACTACTTACGCGAACTACCGAGAGTTTGAAGATTTATCACTGCTAAAAGTGCACAGTTTGCTCTTTACTACACACGTTTGCTTTAAAAAGACTTGATTCGAATGGTTTGAATAAATGTGTTTGCTTGCATTATACGTGAAATGCTGGGGCGAAACAACGGTCAAATGTTCTTGTTACCGTAGCCAGGGTTCACAGTATCTTTTCTCGTTCTTTTTCTGCTTCGCCACTGCCGCCATTCCGCTTACGGTAGCAGGTGGCAATGTTTTTGTTGTCCTCAAGCTTGCTATAACGATGGAACTCATGTACTATGAATCGCTCGTTTGGCGTGTGTCATTGACACGTTATTGCAGCGCGTGAAGAGTGAATGCGCCATCTTTCTAGATGATGATTCGTCACAGTAATCTTTTAGTCTATCAAACACACATTTTAACCATCTGATTTTATTGCACGGGACTAGGTTGCCTCGTTCTTGAATTACCATGAGTCGATTTTTTAGGCCATAATTGGCCTAAAAACATCGACTCATGGCCCTAAATTACAGTGAATAACCCTAAATTTATTATATCCTGAAGATGTTAGAAGACTGCAATCCGAACTGTCCTGCCTTACCTCGAAAATTAATTTATTAAATATCTTCAGCCTAATTAAGCTAAACTTGATCTGAGGTCGTTTATTACTATAACTAGATTCAAGTTTA